AAGTCTATTTAAGGGGTCATCATATTGTATTGCTTAGAAAGGCAATTTGGTCTAGTGGCTAAAGCACCAGGTTAGAAACCAGGATACTGCGAGTTCTAGTTCCACTTTAGACATGAAGCCAGCTGGTTAGACCTGGGCAAGTCACTCTGTTTCAGCCCTAGGAAGTATGAAGCAATGGCAAACCACTTCTGAAAACTTTCCAAGAAAACTTTAAGGACTAGTCCTGACAATTGCCAGAAATCAACACTTTTTGAAAGCACAAGCCCCCTCCCCAATATTGCTAATATCTTTTCGAATGGCAGGAAACCACACAATAGGGAACCTGATGTAGTCCTGGTATTCTAAGATGCCCACCCATGTTCTAAAGTACTATGTGTCCCATCCAAAGCATCTTTGTTACATATACAAATTTGGCAAGCAATCTTTTATCTGGTTATGAGTGTCATTCATATAAATCTTGACTAGTATTCAGGACCAAACTCTGCAGCATCACACTTGATACCATTCTCCAGTTTGCTGAGGAACCACAGATGAGCAGAGTAGTTTTTGAACTAGCTATGTATCCAGATAGTTGTCATGCCATTTAGCAACAACTAAATGTTTTCAAGAACTAAGTGTTATGTCCTAGGCCAGCAGGCGCAGGCTGCAGCGTTTGGCCCAGGCAGAACATGTGGATGCCCGGGACAAGAAAGGCTGCTCCCAACCTTGCGTGCATACGCACGGCGGGAAAAGATCCTTTGCAATGATTGGCCAGCAAGGTATTATGCAGGGGGACTATAAAAGGGGGCCACACCATTTTAAAATCTGTTCTGTTGGTGTTTGCAATAAAGGAGAACTGTTGGAACTCGTTGCTTCGTCTCAATGCCTCTTCTCCTGAGACAGAACACTAAGGATTTAATTAAAAGCAAAATCAACAAAAAACCATTTTTATCATGAAACGTTGTGAAGCAAAGACACAGAAAAACTTGGTCCAGTTGTAGTAAATTATTTATTTACTTTATTATTTATAAAATGTATTGCAAAGTTTATTGTTGGTAACATATAGAAATAATTCTTAGATTTCTTAGAAACTGTAGACCCCTTTCATATTTCAGAATTAAGGAAGTACACCTTTGTCTTATAAGCTCTGCTTACACTGTCCCCCCCCAATATTAAATATGGTGCTATTTAAATATGATTGTTACAAACATAGCAGTTATTTCAGTAAATGATACGTTAAACGTAAAAATATTTTACCAATAGTTAAAATCCGGAATCCTATTATATTCAGTGGTTCAGAAGCACACGCTATCTATAGTATTTGAAAGCAGGAGTGTGTAAGTTTATAAAATCAGTTTAGGACTTTGGGAATGAATTGCAGTAATCATTTTTTCAACAGAGGGATGGAGAAGAGAAAGGAGATTGTTTGCAAATTAATAAATGGAGGAGACAAAGGATCTTCCAGATTGGTTTAAAATGGAATAAATAATAAGCCACAGTCAAGATAAAGAAGAGGGGGGAAAAGACCAGAGTAAAGTATCTGGATACACTTAACATGATTGTTATTGCAATAGACTTTTGACTTCTACAGTGTGTAATACTGAAGAGTTGCCCACTGCATTAGATAGTCAGGAAGGATTTTCAAATATTTAATTGCTTGTTTGTTTATATTTCCTATTTCTAGCCCCCCTCCCATCTTCCTCAGAGGTTACTAAGATGGGAACTATTCACAACATGCTACATTTTTATATGCATATACCAAAAGGGGAGAAAATAGTCCATGTTTAATTGTTGAACTAACTCACACAATTCCTAATAATTGGTTTTAGTGTATAGGAATTGAAGTTCCAGTATCTGAAGTTCAGTTCTCCTAACCCTCCTGTAATGTTCTGTCTTTATCATGGCATTTAGGCAACTTGGTTCCAAACAGTATCACAATGAATTAGCTGTGATCAGTTCTTGAAGAGATTTTTTTTCAATTATAGGTTCTGTTTAGATTAATGCATACCTCTTTTAAGCCTTTTTAATGGTTGATATTGTCTTAAATATTATAAAACTGTTATTATTTTATTAATATTTTCATCTGAATTTCCATATTCAGTTTGCATAAACAGCGTGCCAATTTGATTAAAAAGAACCTAGGTCAGATGTATTTTGCATCTCTTCAGTTACTGTATTACAAATCAGTACTAAGATATCCCTTGGAATCACACAAAAATCAACAAATCTAAAGTCTTTCTTTTCTTGCAGCAAACCGAATAAACTGAAGTAAATTTCCTGGCAGTTAGAACAATTAATCATGGAATGACTTGCCTCCAGAAATTGTGGGTGCTCTGACACTGGCAGTTTTTAAGAAAAAATTGGACAACCATTTGTCTGAAATGGTATGGGGTTTCCTGCCTGAGCAGGGGGTTGGACTAGAAGACCTACAAGCTTCCTTCCAACTCTGTTATTCTGAAGTCACCCTCAGCAAATAAAAGGATGAAGAATCAAAGACAAAATGATTAGATAGTACTATTTAATTAAAATGTAATTTTAAAACAAGGTAGGAATGAGAAAAAAAAAGGCTGTATGTTATCAGATTTTTAGTATCATACTGAAGAGGTGTGGTGTATAAGATTATACACTTGGAATGTGCAAGTGTGTAGAGTGCAGAATTAAGGCTAACAATAACACAGTGGCGCCTACTTCAGTTTTTGTCTCCATATCAGACAAAACAGCAAAAAACCATCTTGAAAAGATACCTTTTCACCATAGAGGTGAATACATTATCAAGAGAATCTGAGAAAAGATTGAATACAAGAGAGAGAGTGAAGGAGAGAGATTGATTTGGGTAATTATTAAATGTCATAATGGTAATTATTAAATGTAATAATCTTGTATCTATATAGACCTTGATTTAGGACCACAACTGGGACCAGAACATTTGTTGTTAAGTGGAGCATATCACATGTCTGTGACTTTCAACCTCCTGCCGGCTTCTCCATTGACTTTGCTTCTTAGAAGCCAGCTGGCAATAATGTGATCTTGGGATGCTGCCACCATCATAAATACCTGCTGGTTACCAAGTGCACTCAAATCGCAATCAGGTGACCACAGGGATGCTGCAAGAGTCATAAGTGTGAGGACCAATCATAAGGTGCTTTTTCAGCACCATTGTAATTCTGAACGGTTGCTAAGTGAATGATCATAATTCAAGAACTATCTGTATTCAACATTTGCTGTGTCCATTTTAGGTAGTGGCATCATCAAATGTATTTGTTCTTCTCAGTCAGGTTCCTGCAGCTTCACTGATGAAAAGCATGCAGAGCTCAAGACTACTAAAAATCAGTCCTTAAAGGAAATCTAAAATCATATGCATGGATTTAGCACATGCTTACTGCAACAGCAGGAATCTGCCAAACATACTTAAAAATAAGAGTCCAAAGTAAATGAACAAAATGCTTAGTAGTTTATAAAATATAATTGGAATGTTCAAGGTCTTTTTAATTGCTAAAAGACATCCCAAATCACCAAATCATACAACGCTCCTAAAAGATTCTGGTCGATTTTTATGTGAGAATAAAAGCATGGAGTCCCAAGGAATGGACATTCCTAAATATTCAATGAATTCCTTTCCCTGGAATTCTATAACTGAAATGCCACATCTCTGTGTATGCATGTGCACATGCACGCATGAAGTATAGCAAGACTCCAAATTACCACTAAATGTCAGCAAAGATTCTAGATTTTCTGTGCTGCCTTGCTGTCCTCTAGGGTTCATCCTAATCTTTGCAGACCAGATTTGTTAGCCCTAATTATACAGACTTGCTGTATTTAAGTCTTACAGATCAGGGCTTTTCAACCTTATCACCAATTGTACCACTTTTAGGATATGGTAATATTCGAATACCACCTAGGAAGGGGTCAAAAACTTGATGACCAAAAAAAAAAAAAAAACCTGTTCAAAGTTGCAATTGCACTGAAATGACTTATGACCATTTTTTCACACTTATGACCACTGCAGCATGCCTAGGGTCATGTGATTTATATTTGGATGCTTGGCAACTGATTCATATTTATGATGGTCACAGTGTCCCAGGATCATGTGATCTCCTTCTGCAACCCTTTTACAAGCAAAGTCAATGGCAGGGCTGCTGGTGACCAAGTGCTAAGGCGGGACTTCCTTCCCTCCCTCCTGCCTCCCTCTTTCTCATTCCATCTCCTTCTGAAGGAAGAATTTGAAACCCCCCTCCCATATTTGCCCTCTTCCATATATTCATCAAACGAGGAAAAGCCTCCAGAGACAGAAAAGACAAGCCGCTGAGGGAGCTAGCTTAAAAAGGCGCATTCCTGTTTAAGAATTAGCTACTGGCTAGAAAGGAAAGTTAAGGAGCCGGGAGCCGGCACTTAAGGAAGAAAAAAAAATGTAGTAAGTACTGGCTGCCGGCTAAGGCAGCCTCCCCAGATGGCTCCATTCATAAGTAAAGGAATGCTACAGGCAAAATCCATTCCGGAAAAAAATACTTCAAAATCCCTTGCAGCAAAACTTACAGCTAACACTAGCAGAACAATAGAAGCTAACATGAGACATCAGCCATCAACCAAATAGAAATTGCCAAACACTCCTTAAGAACACAAAGCCCACATTGCACAAATCCCAGAACTTTAAAGTCACAAAAGCACATAAGAATCCTTCCACTCTCCATCTCTCTCCCTCCGTGCCTCACCTCCAGCCGATGCTGCCTTTCTTCATTGCTGTCTTTCTTCATTGCTGCCTTTCTTCATTCCTCATGGAGGGCGACCCCTCCCCCACTGCATTTCTTGCCTGTTTGTTGCTGCCAGCATGGATAGCTACCACAGAAGTTGTAGATCAGCTCATGGCCGGCCTGCTTGATCTCCTCTCCTCTCCCCCCACCCTCCTCCTCCTTCTTTCCCTTCAGTGCAGCTACAACTGACTCTGCCTCCTCCTAAGGTTGCCTCTTTTTTTCTCTCTCCCTCTCCTACCCAAACTGCCTCCTTTTATAGCCTCTCCTGTCTCCTCCCCCTCCTCCTTTCTCATCCGGGTGAGCCAGAAGTGAGCCTGGGTCCTTTGCTTCACCCCAGCCACTCTGCAGCTCCGAGGGATTCTCTCACAGTACGTCCTGCCCTGCGCTGGCTTGTTCCCTTGGCTGGGCAGGGCCGCGTACCACCTGCCACGTGCTAATGTACCATGGGTGGTATGTGTACCACTGGTTGAAAAGCCCTGTTATAGATCACAGTAGAGGGAGCAGTCTGTAGGGCAAGAATAAACCAAACATACCTCTTTGGAAAATAGTTCATTTGTCCTTTATATAATGGGGGAAATGGGTATTGTGAAATAAGGAAATACATGTTCTTAACAAAACCCATGTATAAGGAACACTTAAGTTTTAGTTTTTACATAAGTTGGCACAAAAATAAGCCTTTAATTTCAATTTAGCACAGATCCATAGGATCACATATATGCAAAAAGGCAGTCTTCTCTCATCATATGGAACTCCTTCTTTGACTAGGAATCTGTTTTGGGGAAGATGCTGACTTTATTGTTTCTGCTCACTTTTCGTTCTGATTTACCCTTGGATTGCTTTGTCTGGATCAGCTCCTCTGGTGTATTTCCTAAAGGAGGCAGAAGTCGTTTCTTACCATTCCGGTTTTCAGGTAGCCATTGTGGTGGCAACTCAAAAGGTCCAAAGCCCAGTTGTGTAGAAAACTTTTCTTTGGCCGATTCGGCTTCTGTAGAGAAAGCTGGTGCTATTTGTGCAGCAGAATCTGCAACTGCGGGACAAACAGACCTCTGAATTTGGGCTCGTCCTATATCTAAGCTGGTTGTGGGCATCTCCTCCTGTTGGTAATCATTGGGGTCCACAGATTGAGCTTCGTTTTCATGCTCTGTGGGCTTGAAAATTTGCTCCTGCCCAATGTGAAACATTTCTAGGAGTTGGCTGCCAGAACGAACGTGAGATTCCAGATTGGCCTCCCCAGAACTGACTATGTTCCTCCGACTATACCTTTGGTGTAATTGCAGTATCGTCCCTATTAACCATTTCCGTACAGATTTGTTAACGGTCAGGAAGAGGAGTGGGTTGGCCAGCAGTGATATTTTAGGCAACCAGATAGCAGTAAGAAGCAAGTATTCAGAGGTATCAGAAGAATCCAGGACAGCGTGATAAACCACCATAGTCATATAGGGAATACTGCAGAAAATGAAAATCATAACCATAGACAGCAGCATGGCATGAAGTTCAGATTCTCTCTGGGAGGCATAAGGAATAGAGATTGTATTTTGAGGGGTTCTTAAGGCAGCTATAATGACTTTTTTCTTCTGGCTAGCACTCAATGCCTTGCGGATGAGGATCATGAAGAGAAATACCACAGTCACTGGTAAAACCACAGTAGTAAGGTTGTAAGTGATAACATATGCTAAATGGCCGACAGAGTAACTCCAGGGCCCGGTACAAGTTGATATAGCATATATGTCTGACACATGGGTCACAACAAAGACTGGAATGCTGGCCACCACCGCATGAGCCCAAATATAGATCACCAGATCTCGTGATTTGGCATCCGATATCTTTCTTTGCAGTGGGTATAAGACTGAATAGTACCTATCCAAAAAACAGAGGAGAGAGCAGAAATATCTATAAGGGATACAGAGATGCCATTCCTTCTTATTCTATCAAATTAGACTCCATCTCCCAATAGTTAAATATACAGAATACTATTCCTTATCCTATTATGTAGATTAAACTTGGACTATTATCAGAGATGCTAGAATTTAAGATGTTTCAATGTTAGTTCTAGTACAGATAGTCCTCGACTCACGATCACAACTGAGTCCAAAATTTATGTTGCTAAGCGAGACATTTGTTAAGTGAGTTTTGCCCCATTTTACAACTTTTCTTGTCACAGTTATTAAGTCAATTATTGCAGTTGTTAAATTAGTATCACAGTTATTAAGTGAATCTGACTTCCCCCTTGGCTCTGCTATGTCAGAAAGTCGCAAAAGTTGATCACATGACCTCAGGACACTACAGCCGTCATAAATAAAAACCAATTGCCAAGCATCCAAATTTTAATCATGTGACCATGGGGATGCTGCAACAGTCATTTTTCTCAGTGCTGTTATAACTTTGAGTGGCCACTAAATTAAAGGTTGTAAGTCAAGGAATATCCGTATACACTTTTTTAGTCACTAATTTAACCTTATATAAAATAATGACAACTGCAACTTATATTAATTAATTTGTATCAAAAATGTGATTAGAATTTACTCTGAAACTCCTATTTTTCTATATTATCTCATAATCTCTTTGCTCCAAACTGGTTTGTGAATAGAACTGAATTAACCATGTTTCTTAGCATGTAGCAGTTCCAGCCAAACTGCATAATTCATTAATGCATGTGAAAGATTGCCACATTACAAAAAGAGTAGATTTGCTAAAATACCTAAACATAGCATGTGACATGAAAATTCCACTATGGTACTCAATAGCTCAGTTCACAGGTTACATTAAGACATAATACAGTTTCTTACTTTGGTCTTAGCATAAGGCCATTGTGGTTTATAACCAATAGAGTATGATTTAACCTTAGCTTAGCTAGCTGTGACTTATTCAATAAATGATTAGAAGACAACCTATCCAGCATCAGCTTTCCTAATAATGGGAGCTAATGAATAGATAAGACCAGTATTAATTACCGTAGCTAGTCAAAAATCAATACAGAACTTCTGTCATGTCCTTCAATATTATTACAGATTCCAAGACAGTAAGATTGAGACTTGGAATCCATAATATGTTTTGGTAAGTACTTTTAAAAAAGCGTGATTATCTTCCTTTCTTCTGTGGGTGATAGATACACAAAGAAAATTAACTTTTTAGTGGATCAGAAATATTAGAAAAGAGCCAGTCAGGTTAAATTAGCAAGGATTTAAAAATTGTATATGCAATCTTTTTATTTTTAATTTTTTTAAAAAAAAAATATTAAATTGATAGGGAAATAAGACAAACAAAAAACAGAAAAATACATCAGAGGAAAGATAATTAACAGATTTATCCATGTTATACTTCAAAGATAACCAGTGAGTAATCATAGTGTCTTACCGATCCAGAGCAATGACGGGAAAACTCAGGATGGTCACTGAGCAGAAGACCTTATGCAAGAATTTAATCACTTTACAGAAGATCATGGTGTAGATCCATCCACAGCAATGTGGACTGGTACTGAGAACAATGTCAAAAGGCACACAGACAAGGCTGGCACAGATCCCAGAACAGGCCAGGTTCTTAATAAATCGATTTGTTACTGACTTAAAAACTGATGTCCTGCATGTCGACCACAAGACCACCACGTTTCCTGGATGAACAGAAACAAAAATCAAACTATGAAAATTAAGAAAGGCATGTGTAATGATCCAGTTAATTCTTTCATTTTATTCAGCAAACAGCACTAAAGTTTAATTCAGACATAATTATATACCTTGCTATCTTTCTCAAAATAGGATCATGTTTAATTCTGTAGATATTTACCCAGAATTAAGTGTTGCTCATTACTCACCCTAGGAGTAATGATGTTTCCTAGTAGGAATATAGGATTGCAGCATGAGTTATAATTTCAATAAAAATATATTCCATAAATGTCCTAATTTCTAGATAAGGTGGCAGTTAATATAACACATAGATCAGTTTAATATTAACTGTACTTGGTGCATCTCATTCCATACATTCCTATTTAATTAATGTGTATGCAACCTGACTCTCAGCATCTTTCAACATCTTACAAATTGTAAAAAAAGATGAAAACAAGAAATAGCATAAAACAGAAAAGAACAAAGAGACAACCACCCCAGGTAGAAACAAAGAAAAAGGGGGGAGAAGTGAGGCTTCAGTTATGCTCACTTACAGGCCTAAAACCTCCAAAACACCAGAAGGGTTGGGGGCTGTTTGAATTTCAGGAGGATCCTCATTCCAGAGAAGGTGCATTTCTGTGATCCAGAAAGATGGCAAGGTTTAACTCAGGGGTAGGCAACCTTGGCTCTTTTATGACTCGTGGACTTCAACTCCCAGAATTCCTGAGCCAGCACAACACAGCTGGCTCAGGAATTCTGGGAGTTGAAGTCCACGAGTCATAAAAGAGCCAAGGTTGCCTACCCCTGATGGAACCCTATCAGATTATCTGCCCAATAAGAATGGAATTCCCTTGTGAGTCCTTGCTCCCTCCCAGTTCACTTTGTATCCATCCTTTCCACTACAGCCAGGCTCTTTTTTGACGTAGATTGGCACTTTCTCCTAGGACCCCTGTGCCCAGGACCTGCTTATCAAACATTTTTTTCAGGTGGATAAACCAGTTGTTTTATGCACCCATCTCAAACCCACCACACTTTATGGAGAGCCATTTGTGGTTGCTTTTCCTGCTGGCAGGCAACACTTGATTGGAAAAGAAACGAAGACAGAAATTCAATGATTGCTTTCCTTTAGCTGTTCCATATTAAAAGCATAAAAGTATATCCATTGTTGGTCTGAATACTGAGGCAGAGTAAGGACCAGCAAGGAGGCAGTTTGGTTTATGCTAGCCTGTTTTTTCTGCTGTCTCATTGACAGGAAGAAAATACTTTAATGCAGTGATCTGGCCATGCAAAAAAAAAGAGGAGGAGGAGGAGGAAGAGGAGGAGGAGGAGAAGGAGAAGGAGAAGAAGGAGGAGGAGGAGGAGGAGGAGGAGGAGAAGGAGAAGAAGGAGGAGAAGGAGAAGGAGAAGGAGGAGGAGGAGAAGAAGAAGAAGAAGAAGAAGAAGAAGAAGAAGAAGAAGAAGAAGAAGAAGAAGAAGAAGAAGAAGAAGAAGAAGAAGAAGAAGAAGAAGAAGAAGAAGAAGAAGAAGAAGAAGAAGAAGAAGAAGAAGAAGAAGAAGAAGACAAATCTCCACTCTACATTTCAAATCATGGCTCATTAGGAGCCAGTTAAATGTATCTATTTTTCTTTGCATTTATTATCTTGTTGTCAAATCATTCATGAGTTTTTCTTTTCAATACATGCTATAATTTATTCAATTTATTCAAATGGAGGGGGAGTGGAGTTTATGTTGTGGATTTTTAATGCTGCAAGTCATCCAGAGTCTCCATATGTGAGATTGGCAGCTCTCTTTCTCTCTCTCTCTCTCTCTCTCTCTCTCTCTCTCTCTCTCTCTCTCTCTCTCTCTGTGTGTGTGTGTGTGTGTGTGTGTGTGATGCAGTAGTTATTTTCTCTGGATCATTTGTGTATTATATTATCTTACATCAGCTGTGGTCTTCCTGGCTGAATTGTCTGTAAAGGTCTACCTTATTAGATTTAATCTATCCAATAATATGCTCATTTTAGGCTGAATCATACCTTTAGATAACATGGGAAAACGTTCTTGAATAGTCATTTACCTATCCTTTTTCATAAAAATAACTGCTATATATGAGATTATTGGCCTAAAAAACTTTGGAAATTATCATTTTAGAGGAGCATCTTTGGAAGTTATATATATATATATATATATATATATATATATATATATATATATATATATATATATATATATATATATATATATTAGACAAATAGGACCCTTGTGAAAATAGGATTCTGGATAATTCAGTAGAACTTTACTATCTCAAATAAACATAGTTCCAAAGGAATATGAAACCAAAATGTTTTTTTTTTCTAAATGTAATGTTACAAGCATAAAAAAATGATTGGATAAATTTTGAAATATTTCTGTATTAGTGGAGATTTTTTTAAAGAATTTCACAGTGGAAATATATTATGGGTTGTTTTGGGGCTGTTGGTTGTTTTTTTTTTTTTTTTTTTTTGCCTCCTTGCACTGTTCTTCATGATAAGTATAAATATTTGAAATTGCTTGGCATTAGGGCAAAGCAGTGTTAGTACAGGTAAGGAAAACAATCCTGATACAACAGCATTAATTTGGGGGAAGTACAAGAGACTGAAACACAATATGATGAAAAAAGCTTTAGCGAAGGTTTATATGAAGTGAAGTTTCTCTTAAGTCAATGAGTTCTCTTAAGTGCCCAAGTTGTCACATAGATATTTTACAAAACCAAGGGATATTTTCCCCTCTTTTCATTTGGGCTCTTCCCTACAAAGATCACATTATTTTAAAAAGCTGGTCACAAGAGTCTTGCTAATTCATAATTAAATCTTTCCTATGCTCAGCGACTTATTCTCATATAAGTGCACAGAGAACTGCAGCCTTAAAATGCTTAACTCTGGAGAGATCTTCTGAATGATTAAAGCAAGCTCTGCCAATATATTATTTTCTCCCCAGCTCACTCTGCCCATTAAGTTTATGGTACTTGCCTATTAGCAACAGCTTCAAAGGGGAGCAAACAACACAGGCTACTCTACAGTTACCATAGCAACAATAATCCCATGAAGCTAAAATCATTTTCTTTGGCTAAATCGCTACCTATGACTCAATCATTTTGGCTTTATGTCTAACGTGACAAATGAGAACCTAGTACCAGTTCTGAAGCAACGTGACTTGTTCAGGGATTTTTTCCCCCCTTATTTGAACAGAACTCCGACATATTCACAAATACACGCTATATTGTTTATTGACCTTGACAGGTAGTTTAAGATTATGTAGTTAAATTTAGTTTTACATGAAGATTGTTTTACATGAAGAACGTGGGCATGTTTACTTCTTCCCTGAGACTGTTAGAGTAGTCCTTGACGGAAGAATACTAAATAGGAAAAAAAGTTCCCCATCTCTTCCCCAGCATAGAAATAATCAGATCTGACTAAATACTAATTTCCTTGCCTTTGTGTCAAGAGTGTTTCCAAATCCTAAGCATAAACGATTTCTCAGAAATTATGAAAGCTTATTGGAGAGTGTTGTCTGCTTTGGATCACTAAATGGAAATTTGGTCTAAAGTAGTATTCAATCTAAGGTTCTAGGTAATCCAACAGTATATAGACAGAGTCAAAGGGAGGAAAGTTTAATTTAGTGGTTCTTAAACAGGGAATAAGCAATTTCTAATTGCTTGTTTGTAAGTCAGAGATCTACCATGGGACTGCCAAGATGCTTATGTATAACCACAAAGTCTGCCTGGGTGGGAGGGAGTGATAATAAAGTTACTCAGGAGTGGAGAAATTGGGTCAAACAGTTTAAGAACCACTGGTTTATAGAATCAGGCCCTATACAAAAGTTTGAAATTCATTGTTACAAATGAAATTAAAAAATAAGTCATCGGCATGTAATAATAGTTCTAATTTCTGTTGTGTTGAAAATATCTTCCATTTGTCTAATAAATCATGTCCATTATTCCAGTGCCAAATAAAAAAAACAAGAGGAAATAAAGAACATTCTTGATGAGTTCCATAAGACAATATGATAGTTGAAGAAATAATTCAATTTTTATTAAATAAAGTAGAGCATCATATATTAATCCAAGTAGTAAAAATCTATTTTAAATAAAACTGGATTTAAAAAAATCTCTACTGGAATATATACACATATTCGTCAACCAATAGGACCATCACTGCAGATACCATTTTTTTCTTGTACCCAGAATCTCAGTGAGTAATCTAATATCATCAGAAGATTTGTGACTTTCTATAAAACCAATTTGTGCCAGAACCATGGTATAATTATCTACTTACCAGTATATAATTTTTATTAAAGAGTTTTTAGGAAGGAAGATAAAATATAGTATAAACAAATATAACATAAGAAAAAGAAAGAAATTAAAGAGAAAGGGGGGAAAATAAAGTAGAAAAGAAAAAGATACAAAGAATTAGCCTCCAATCTTCTTCACAGAAGTACAAATATAAATTTATCTCCTCCTCTAAAATTACATCATGACTCTCTTATATCCATCATCAAAACCATAAATCACATTATTTTTTTTTCATTTTAATGCAAAAAGTTCATAAGGGGTTTCCAATCAATACTAAATGTAGCTACTGTCTTTTCTCTGATCAAAAAAAAAATCAATTTAGCCATCTCAACAACTTCCATCACCTTCACCAACCATTCCTCCATTGGGGGTAGTGCTGAATCTTTCCATCTTAGTTCATACAATAATCTCACTGCAGCTATCACGTATAAAATCAAAATTTTTCCAACTGTTTATTCATCAATCTCTAAAGAAAAACCTCTAATCTCAATTGTATATTAGTCTTCAAAATCCGCTGAATCAGTATATATGAGTTTTTCAGGTTTTTTTACACGTCCACCAAACATGATAAATTGTCCCTTCTTTTGCTCACATGTCCAATATAAATTTGAAGTGCCCTTATACCAGTGATGGTGAACCTTTTAGAGACCAAGTGCCCAAAAACTGGCCCCGCCCCTGCCCCACCCCCTGCCCTGCCCC